GCCTATTAACCACAACGATCAAATATTTTTCATTGAACATTTAAGTTATAATTCGCGACTAGATTTGTCAATTTAGCTCTTTTTGAGCTCGCTTCCACTGCATTTAGCCCCTATAAAAGGGCATCTAGAACTTCTTTATTATTTATAATATAATAAAAATTAATATGAGAAAACTCTAGAATCTGATTTACATGTGCTAAAGGCACTTAAAAAGTGGTTTATGCAATTCCAAAAGAGCTAAATTTGAAACTCTGTCCGTGACTGTGTCAGGCTATGGACTCCTCGATCCACCATAGTAATTATACCACACGGGCTGTTTTCACTTTTAAAAATATTTCTTCTAATTTAATGTTCTATTGTCCTTAAGAGTTCAACAAAGATTCAAAAGGACAAAGGAACTGAACAACGGTGCTTTTGAACTGATGAGGAATCTGTTATAAAGATAATAAATATCAAAAACATCCTTGTTCAGTTCCGGTTTTCCGGATTCGTTTTTTATATTTTCTTTTCTTGTCTATTTTTTTTTTTATATTATTGACTTAAAACAATAAATATTTTCTCTTTTGTTTTTGCAGAAAACCGGTCCTCATCAAAAAGAAAGAATTTGTTTATTTCCTGGTCACTCAAGAAGTAACCTTGATAACCAAATAAAGATAATTATTGTATTTAAAATGTATTCGTTATGAACTTTTATATCATAGTATTGAATATGGACAACTTCTCGTGTTTTGTTTTCCACGGAAGACTATATATAGTCTCTATTCTTCATATTTAAATTAGACTATCACTGCAGTATGTTTGTTTTATGCTTTTATAAAAAAATTTTTACGGCAGTGGTAGTCTAATTTAAATATTTTTCTCTCCAGAATCTATCCTACATATTTATGTCTACCATTCGTCCATGCTTAAAATATTGCTGCCACATATGGTCTGGTGCTCCTGCTATTTACCTTGGGCTTCTTGATAAAATCTAAAGACGAATCAGAAATATTATCAGTCCTGATCTGACCAATCGGCTTCAGTCACTTTCCCACCGCTATAAAGGTTGCTTACCTTTGTCTTTTCTATAAATACTTTCATGGTAATTGTTCAGATGAGCTCTTCGCTATTGGAATTTAGATTTTTAAATTGTTATTTTATTTCCCTTCCCCCACAGGCAATAAATTGTATATATGGAGATTAGTTAGGACTTTCATAGAGACAATGAGGTATTATGGTGGATGTAGTAAGAAAAGTAAGTAAGAATGCGTTGTTCTGGTGTTAGGAATATTGTCGTATGTTTGGGTCAGTGTTTGTGGCTAGCTAAATTTAATGTTAAAGCAGATGAAGACCGTCCTTTTCCCCATTCCTCTTCTTGGCCTTGTGCCACATTTTGCAATTAAATATCGTTCTTCGCTATAGTACTTAAACTTTGTGAATTTAAGCGCAGTATTTGGAGAGAATAGAAACAAAGAGAAAACTTATACTTAACATCAGGAAGAGGCAGCTGAAATTTATGGGACACATAATGAAGAAGGAGAGCTTGGAAAATCTGATACTCACAGGACGGATGGGAGGGAAAGAGACACAGGGAAAAGCAACGCATGATATACTTAATGGGCTTGAGCAAGTGGATAGCGGAACAGGAGGAGGTGGAGTACCATGATCGCCTACGTCCTGAAGGGACATGTCACATAAAAGATTAGACTGTCGATGAAATTTCATCAATTTACAGTTGAACTGGCTAGATGTAACAGTATGTTCTATGTTCAGTTACTTTTCTCGCACTTCTCGCTTGTGGAACTCCCGGCTTCATGATTTTCAGACAACTTTAATGTTCAAAAGTTGAAATGCAATGTCAATCGCAATCTACTGTTCTTCTGAGACTTCCTTTTGTTCCCACTCATTAGTAATGTTTCTGTTTCTAATTCTTTCACACCTAGTAACCCATTATGCCTTAGTGGCTTCACTGCTTTAAATAGGCTGATATCGATTACAAAAATATGTGTAGAGGAGAGACTATAGTCTTCCCTAAAGAAGTACCTATAATAAATTTCCATATTTATGGATGAATCGGCACTTCGGATCTAGATCAATGGTATGTGTGCGTTCTCACTCCTTATAAAGGGTGTTCCAATAACTTAAACCGATTTTAATTGTGAATTAAGTTTAAGCGCCTAATGATTTTTTTCTTTTTTTTTTTTCAGATTTAACAACTTAAATTTTTGCAATTTCAACCATGGAAAGATTAACAATCAAACAACGTGTTAAAGTTATCGAAGCCGATTACGAAAATGGACGTTCAAACAGAAATGCATCGTAACGTTGTTGTGGGGAAGTTCAATTCCTGCGCGCGATGACGAATAGAGGTGTCTGGATTTTCGGCCACATACTCGTGCACAGCAGCAATGTTTTCAGCTAAACGGCGTAAACGAGCACGCGATGATGTTTTCACATCTGCCACCGACCCAGTTTGTTTGAATTTACGAACAATTTTTCCAGTTGCACTCTTGAAACTTTAACACGTTTTTTGATTGTTAATCTTTCCATGGTTGAAATTGTCAAAGACTTAATTTGTTAAATCTGAAAGAAAAAGAAAAAATATTATTAAACGCTGAAACTTAATTCACATTTAAAAGTTATTGGAACATCCTTTATTAGGTTGTCCAGTATTAAATGTCGTATTTTGATGAATGGCAAAAAATAAAACAAAAAACGCTTTCTTTAAATGATATGCATTTTTCAATCGATATAATATCCGTTTTGTTCTTCGGTTTTCTTAAAAAATAACTCTAATCATATTTTTAAAACTCATCGTCTTTTGCTTTAATAAACTATTCAAAGGCTTCGACTACTTCTATTCTTTTTTTTTATTTACTGATAGTTCATCCAAAACAAATCCCTATTGCCACCCAAGATATAAGGTTACTGAGGGAGATTGTAAGGCAAGGGGGGAGTAACAATATTATGAGGACCAGTAGGATAGATATAGGTTGACCTTGGACTTAAAGAGAACCAGATTATAGTTATCAGGGAAGCATTCTCCCGGGAGTTTGTTCCACAAAGTAACAGTTCTGAGGAAGAAGCTGTCCGTGTGGAAATTGCTTTTTATCAAAGGGACACAAAGAGAATGGGGATGGTTTGTCACTGCGAACACAGCATGCCGGGTCCTATCTATGAAGGTCCGAGATGGTGGCACTACAGAATGTAACTGGTTCGAAGAACATCTGTCATAGTCATTAAGATATAGTAGTAAAGGGTTGGCGATGTTTCGTTTGTAGGATAAGGGTTGCAGGAGGATAGAGAATAATTAATCACCCACAAGGCCGCGTTTAGCGATTTTGAACTTTGTCGAGATTGGACAGTGAGAATTGGACAACACCAGCACAGTTTTGATACCAGTATTCCATTTTTGGATAGATGTGACTTTTATAAAGATAGAGAATGGTAGCAGGTATTTTCTGTGGCGATACAATCAACCGACTATTCTTCCAGCATCTTTCGCTATGGCATGAAATATATGAGTGCCTTTCGAGGTCTGGAGTGAGCATTAGCACCAGTATACGTTCGAGACAAGGTGCCTCTTTGAGGATCTGGACACTCATCGCGATTGATACAGCTTTAGGGTCTGCCCGTTGGTGATGAAATGCAAAAAGTTTAGCTTTGAATGCATTAAATGATATCAACCTGTCTTTTTCGCTAGTGAGCTGTGAGAGTTAGATCAGAAGAGAGATCAGCTGACAGGCAGTGATATTTGGAGGTGTACTCATTGACTGTAGTATCATCGGAATATATATTTACTAAACATCTTCTATTGCCTATAGAAGCCTCAAAGAGTTTAAACTTTTTGAAAAAGGTGAGTGCTCAAAAGATCTCATAACCAAATATGTGCTACTTTAGAATTGCGGTCCAAAAAGTGTGAAGGCGAGCATTCTGACGACGTGGAATTGGGCCATATCATTTTTTTAACGTGTGAGATGTTCCAACTTCTATTTAATGTTCTGTAACTGTTACTTTCGGATTTTGTCTAAATAGTGCATTCAGCTGATCACTTTTTATGACTAAATTACGTTCTTGGTTCATTTTCAAGGCTGTTGTCTACTAAACGAAATTTCTGAAACCACCCCCGCATAATTCTAACATTAACAATATTACTGTTAAATGCCAAGCTCATATTTCGTTGAGCTTTTGTGGCATCGTGGCTTTGTTTGAACTCGTATCTAAATATAAAAGCCAGGTGACGAGCTGACTTATGTTTATTCCCGGCCACCGAGTGCAACAGTACCTGACCTCACACCTGCATCGGGTATTACAAGCGTGATAACAAGATAACGACAGCTGGATATATAAACACTCACACCAGAGGTGATTAGAGTAATCTTACACACTCACTAACTAATGTAGGCTCCGCGTATCGGATCATAGACTGGCTGAGAGTAAATGAAAAAACATCGGCGTGAATAAAATGTTAAGTAATGATGGTTCAAGTCTCGTTTTATCTTCATTACAATTTGGTTCATTTGACTTCTATAAAGCAAATCGAAATATTTTAAACCCACTCATTCTTTCTGGAGCTTTCAAGAATGCGGGTGTGTTTAATAGACTGTATTTGCTATTCTGTCAACAGTAGAGTTCCATGTAGCTCAAATGGTGAGAGCAGTTGTTACGGTTAATCAGGCGTCCTTAAAGTAGAGAGAACGTAAGTTTAACTGGCTTCGAGCTTGCCTTCTTATTTACAATTTTAGTTGGTTGTTTTTGTCTAGCGCTATATCAACCTCTCTGAGTTATTTAAGGCCAAAATCTAAATATTTTATAAGCAATTTTATTGTATTTATGAAGATAATGGTTTAGTGATAGAGGTTTTTCTAATTAACCTACAGCTGGAGGAGAAGAGGTGGATTCATACCTTTACCAAGGCTATTTGCGCGTAAGTGGATATAAAGAACCCAACTGGAATTGGAACTCAACTCTCCGATTAATAATTCCGAGCCATTATCCATTACACCATCCTCAAATGCAAGCTTACAGCACCTGATATTCCCAAGCGGTCACCCGACTCGGTACTGACTGGGCTCGACGTTTCTTAACTTCGGTGATCGGCCGAGAAACGGTTATTTAATGTGATGTGGCCGTAAGCTATTATTTTCGATTCATTGATTTGCGTTGTTTGCTCGCTGTCGACCCTATGTCAATTCCAACCAAGAATCAACTAAAAGTGTATGAAAATATCAGAGAGAAATTAATACGTATAAATCTGTCTAGTTTAACGTATTTTTCTATAAGCATTTCACCTTAAGCAAAGCGGGAGTACCACTAGTACGCAAGGGGGTTACAGAGAGTCTAAGAGAAAAAAACTGGATATTGGGGGGGGGAGGCTGAGGAAAGGATAAAAAAAAGAAGAACGGGAATCAAGGCATCAGAAGATGTCGATTGACATGACATTTAAATTTTTGGAGATTATAGTTGTCAGGGAAGCTAGTAAGAGGAAGGGAGTTCCACTGTCAGGAAGTGCGAGAGAGGAAGAGGCCATTACATTTAACTGTTTCTACAGAAAAAGGGTCGGACCGAGACGCCAACTCAGTAGCACGCTTAAACATTGATTTCATTATTGTTGCTTGATTTGATTTTATCTTTTGATATTAAGATTTTGTTCATGTTAAACGGGCTCGCAGATTAAGGAGATGAAGATAAAATTTGTGAGGGGTTTTTTTTTCCTTTGTTTCCAATACAAGCTTATTAAATGTCGTAGAAGATAAAACAATCAAAACGTTGCGATAAAAAGCAACAATTTTCAGATGAAAAGGAAATTAGGTAAAATTAAAAATCATTTATAAATTCCTCGATGATTTGCCACTATATGAAATATTATCTTTTTCGTATTACTGAAATATGCCATTTGTTTTCTCCTCTATCGCCAAATTGCAAAAGTTCAGCCTACAGTAGTACCAGATATTTGTGGATTTTTTATTGGCTCCAGTGATTAGTGTTCGAACTTGAGGAAGAAAAAAGAATTTTCAAGGAAGGCAATCGCGATCCATTTAGAACACAAATCAATCGACATATCCCGCTATTTATCTTCTTTTCATAAAGCAAAACTTTGTAAATTGCCATTGGGTTTTTATGGTTGGTTTTTAAAGCTCAAATTTAATCTGAAAAAAAAAAACGAATTTTAGATACTGATTCTCTAGGTAACCGCAGTGATAGTGTGATTGGCGCAACACAATCTTCTCCAATTTGGCCCTAACTTTAGTAAATATCCTAACCTATTTATATTATTCGGACTATTGCCCTCATCTTTGTCGCCATGTTTATCACAACCTTTCAACCGTTGTACGTTCCGGCCTTCTTCAGGTGGTTAGAATGTCGAACTGAACCCTTTATTTCGCTCACTGGGGTAGACTGTTCTAGTTCCACGTGCCATGTCTAATGGATGTCAGTTATCTCCTGTTAATTTCCACCGCCTTAACCAGGTATTGAACTCACGCGCTTTCGGTCCTGTCACTGGATCTAACTAACGCCTTTATCCACTGTGCCATGTGTCCTTGAGGAAACGTTGTGATAAACATGGCGACAAAGAATAGGACAATAGTCCGAATAATGTAAATAGTGTACATAATACCTCATCTCAGAAATATAGACAAATTCATTCTAACCTATTATTAATATATACGGTTTGCTTCATGTTTACTAGATGTCTTATCCCAGATCATGTCTGAATATCTTTTGCACTCTGTGACGCCAGAGAAGTCAGGTGTATCGATGGTTTGGCCTGGCAGATAATCTCCTGGCCACCAAGTGCAGCACCACACCTTACAGGATACCAGTGTCTATCCCAACATGTGAACACGTTTTGGGCACGCTTTGGAAAGAAACGTATTACAGAGATAGATATATATATAACTCAATGGTAGAGGAAAGAAAGACAGGCTCTCTCAAAAATGACACACGGGAATGTAATGTTCCCGTTCGGGTGAGGGTCTGGTGCCGCACCCAACTGCACACTGGATGAGATTAATTAAAAATATTCGAAAATCCGAAATTAAGTCAGCGTTTGATTGCATAAAGAAAAAAGTGCGGGTTTCGAATGTGGATTTTATAAGCATACTAGCAGGATTTCTCAATTTATAATACTGGTCTAAAACAATCAAAATTTTCTCCACCATATAAGGCCTTGTACCATACTTAGTCATATAGAATAAGCATCAAGATGTCTATTTGAGTTTTCTGGGAGCGGCAGGAAGAAGTGATGAATTTGTTGTTCCAGCGATGTGACTCAATAGGTGGGGGCGCTGGCAAAGTCCAACGAGCACTTTAGAGAACCACTGGCTCAGGCTTTGGGTCAAGAGAAGGAGCGTCGTGTGTGTGTGTGTGGTGGAGAAGAAGGCATATATACCCTCAAATATTCAATAACTCACCAAACACCAGAGTAAGGCCAGACATTATACAGCCGAAACGGTATGATAAAAGAAAAATATCAAAGGCAAGGAAATCAGTCTGAACTAACCTATATACAATTTTAAAAATCTGTCGATTATTTCTGATCATTTGCTTTTGTAGTATGCAATTACTTCATACGCTGGTTCCTCATGTACACTAAAATGTTCAAATAATCGCTTGATTATAATAAAATAATGCCACAAAATGGAACTCAGTTTGTTAGACATGATTCAATATATCTAACAGCAGTGGTACACGTGATCGGATGAAGGCAAAGAAAGTCATATTGAAAATCTATATGAATCTGGCTACAGTGAGCAATATAGAAAGACAGTATATAACATTCGAGCCTTTCCATACTTACTGAGACTCCCTGGTATAATAGGTTCCGTGTTGAACTGAAGAAAAAAAGACATCTTTTTTTTTTCGAGTTCTAGTTCACTCTCTATTCTACATCCGAATAAAGCGAGAGTTCTGAATAACAACTACAGAAATCCGAGTTTATATTTTCGATATACCTAGCACTAAACCAAGAACTTCAACAGCTTTGAATGAAAACGGGTTATGTCAACTTATAATATTACAATTAGAAAAAGAGCACTTTTTTTTTTTACTGGCGCTAAAAGTTTCTTTTTATTTCTCTAATTTATATGTGCGAGGGAATTATGTCCCTTTCAAAATATTTATTCCGTTCAGCCTTCATTTCAATTACTTTATGCCCTGATGACGATTCGAAATGTTATATTTCATAACGATAAATGAATAAAAGAATTCGGGTGGATGGCGTTTACAAAGGTTATATTTTAGTTTCAGACACACTTTTATATTTCTCTGCCATCTTACCCTCCAACAGAACAGTTTCTTTTTTTTGTGTGTGTGTGTTTTTGTCCCTTCAAGATGTGCGGGATCAAAGCTCTCTACATCTTCCTCTCATTTGTAACTCTTAATAAAATTTGTCTTTTTACTATCTCTCCTAATCCCTGTTCTGCCAATCTCGTTAGGTAGGTTATTTGCTGCTTTCCTCGGTCCCTCTTGCCTGTGAATATGACCTGTGAGTGTCAAATTTTCTAAGCTTACTTTCCTCTTTATATGCCCCAGAAATTTCAACTTCTTTTTTCTGGTGCATAAGTGTTTTTTTTTCTATGCGTAAGTGTCCTTTCTGTTTCCATTATTTATTCAAACTTCGTTGTTGATCACATGTTCAGTCCACCGCATTGTCAGCATCCTTCTGTAGAACTACATTTCTGCTGCCTTAAGTCTCTTCTTCATATATGATTAGATTGTCCAAATTGGAGAACTGATATTACATAATAGTTCAGTACTCTTTTCTTTGTTTCTAACGACATTTTCCTATCCCTTAATACTTTGCTTAGCTTAAGAAAGTCATGAGGAGATTGTCCAGCATTCACTACCATATAGGAGATTAGATATTACATAGCAGTTCAGCACTCTTTTCTTTGTTTGTAACGAAATTTTCCTGTTTCTTAATACTTTGCTTAGCATTCGGATTTCGGTGTGGCATTTTACCTTCTCTGTTAAAACACAACCTAGATATTTACATTTTTTACTTTCGTGATTTTGGTATATCTAACATCTTGGGCAGTTTCTTTTACTGACAATCGTACATTCTGTCTTCTTACAGTTGGTGTTTAGTCCTTTCTTCTCGCTTTCCTTCACTACTTTCTGTAGGAGTTCCAGTAGTTTCCTTTCCGTGTTTACTACCAACATTGTGTCATCTGCATATTCAATGTCGTTAAGATTGTGGCAGCCAATAATGAATCCTGGTAATACTTCTAATACTCCCAGGATTGCTTCACTGTAAAAGTTGATTATGTCTGGTGATAAGACACAACGTTGTCTTATGCTCTTTTCTATTCTCCTAAGGATTTTGAAAAATACAACGAATTTTTATTTCAACTTGTTATAGAGTTTCAGTATGAGTAATCTGGGATTTTCATCTTTACGATTTTCTTATGTTAGAAAGAATTTTGCTTTTTAAACCATTTAAAGTATAAAATATGCAAAACACAGCTAACACCAAATAAATTAAATAAATAAGTAATATATTAGAAACCACATTTTTTATTAGTTACGAGCTCCGCTGTTGGGCACTTCGACGTGGTGTAATGGTTCGCATGCTTGCTTCGCTAATCCAATTACGACTGAAGAGTGATTTCAATCCATACTTACGACTTTGTGCTAGATCTAATCTACACATAGTAAATCGCTATGAGATCCTCCGCTGGGCATTTCGACTTGGTTTAATGATCGTTAGATCAGCTAGCAATGAGTTCTGTTCTCACTGCGTGCTCTATATTTATGACCTTGTGCCACATCAAAGCGATGCTTAGTATTGTTTAGGTCGGTTTTTGTCGATACTAAATTTCAAGCCCTCTAATAAATAGCTAACTTCAGTCTATCCCTTGCGCTTGCGTTAGACAGTTTGACATTTTAACTTAGTTCAACGCTTACTTCCGACGAGACTGGTTTTGTGTTACGAGTTTTGGGTCACCCTAAAAATGGAGAACTAAAGCTAACATTATCGACACCCTATGCTTTTCTATTTTTTAAAAAGAAAAAAAAACGTAAGAAAGCGGTGTAAATCTTCAGGAAGATATACACTGTTTAAGGAGAGCATGCTGTTGCGGAACATGTTGCGCCAGAAGATTTCGATATGAACTTTTTCGGTTCAAGATACACTTCGCTCTGGTCGGCAATCTGAGATTAACAGCGACAAAATAAAGGAATTAGTCGACACAAACCTCCTTTATAAGACCAGGACGATCGCAAATCTCCTCCAAATACCTAAATCGAGAACTTAAAAACAATTTGCATCAAATTGGTAACGTCAGCAGGCTCGATGCTTGGCTCTCACATCAACTGAATGAAACTAAACTCACCCAACAGATTTCCCTCCTTTTTTGAAAAGAATGGTGGCAGAGGACGAAAAATAGATCGTCTAAAACAATGCGTAGTGCAAACTATCATGGGTGGGGGTGGGGAAGCATAGCGAACCACCACAAATAATCTCCAATGCAGAACTTCACCCGAATAAGGTTATACTTTCAATTTGGTACGATTGGAAGGGTGTTGTTCTTTGCGAGCTTCTACTCACAGAGAGGGCCAACAATTCGGATGTGTTCTCTGACCAGCTGAGCAAATTAAACGCAGCGATCGATCAGAAGCGTCCAGCACATGCTATGTCTTTCTTAGCAACACTGGCAGACCGCACACTTCTTTACAGACATGACAGAAGTTACTGGAGCTTGGTTGGGAAGTTTTGACGTACCCCCAATATTCGGTCGACCTTGTACCTGTTTAATTGAATGGACAGACCTTCAACTCTGAAGAGGGTGTAAAAGATCACTTGTAAGAGTTTTTCGACAGTAAACGGGGAATTTTTGAACAGAGCATAATGGGTCTGCTCAGAAGGTACTGGAATGAAACGGTAATCATATCATTGAATAAATGGCTTTATGTTTAAAACTTGTCTTATTTTCGCTTAAGAAACCGAACGGTCTTTTTGGCGAATCCAATAAATGACTATGAGATATGCCGTTAGACATTTCATCGTGGTTTAATGTTTAACAAACTTGTCTCTCTAGATCAATTTGCTGAGTAGTGAGTTCGATCCTCACTGGGTGCGCTAGTCACTGTGAAATCCGTCGGTAACACGGAACGTGTTTGCTTATTAGCGTCGAATTATAATTTTTAAATATTTCATTACTAAAGATGAATCCATGTTGGGTAGCGGATAAATTTAAATTTATATTGTTTTTTATTTTTATGAATAATTGGGGAGAGTTTGTTCGCAATACACAGCCAAAATGCTTCTTGTACAATCTTCAGATTTTGTAGGCATATTTACAGGCCTGGTGGAATGTCTTAACGTAACGTGTCATTTATTGGAAAAGAGTGGTTCTATTTTTTCTTTTCTTTTTTTTTTGTATATTTTATAACAGTGGTTTGAAAATTCTCTTTGCCATGAATCCATCAAGACTATATTCAGAGTTGCAAATAGGAATAAAAACAAGGGTCACAGTCCTATTATTACGATGTTCTTCAAAATCACACTCTTCAGCATGGGGAAGTTATAAAGACACAAAACAGTAAGTATAAAAAGACAACGCGAAGAACAATAAAAGTGAACTTGAGTTGATCAGGGTAAGCAAAAATTACAAAAAAAAAAACTACCTTCGGATTGGTTGAGTATTTTAGATTCGTTTTATTCAGGCAAAATGTGGCTTATCCGTCATTACCACAAGAATAATCGATTTCATCCCATCCAGGTAAGTTAGCCCTATTCATCGACTATTAATTTAAAGGAACAACAATTACAGTTTGCAACCATATAGTATGAAACTATAATTTCTCTTTTATTATTATTGTCCGAACAAGAAAAATATTAACGTATTTTGAAAAGGCACTTTCATAGTTCTCCTCCAAAATATATTTTACTTCACGTAGTATTATTTCTTAGAAATTTACCTGAAATGATATATGAGGCGTTCGGCGGAGGAGGGGCGTATTCAGCATTTGATAATTTTGCGGCAATATGCACTTAAATGTTTTAGGGGGGGTTTTAGCACTAACACTAATTTTGTTTAGTTTCTTGTAAATATATTTGTCATATTGGGGATCTTTTTAAAAATTGTTGTTTTTTATGCCCCCCCCCCCCCCTCACAGACAATATTTGTACATAAGGGGAGTACTTAAGATTTTCATTGAGTCAAAGAGGCATTTTGGTGGATGTAGTAAGAAAGGTATGGATAAATGTGTTGTTTTGGTGAAAGGAATATTGTTTCCTATGATAGGGTCAGTGGTTGTGGCTAGCTAAGTTTTATACTAAGACAAGTGATGACCGTCCTTTACCCCAACCCCCTTTTTGACCTTGTGCCACATTTATTGTATTACAATAATAAATATTGTCAATCAGTCGATGTCAGACGACAGTTAGTCGAATACGAAAGTACCAGCGACCACCACAAGATTACTCTGCGTAATGCCTATTATATCAAGTTCCTAACGTTTTGTACGTCGAACCTATTTTAGGATCGATTTAGTACAAATACAAGCCTCCACTGTGAAATCACCCCACAACACTCTTCATTTTCACCTTCTCACCCTCATCACTCTTTTCTTACCATACCCTTCACCTTCTCCATTTTCCTTCTCAAACTTCATCTCTTAACTACTCTGTCTCTCTCTCCCCCTCCTCCTAAGAAGTTTTCCTTCTCCGACTCTATTACCTCCTTCTCTCATCTTCTCCATCTGTTCATCTTTTTCCTTTTTCTCTTATTTTCACTTCCTCCTTCTTACACCTCATCTTTCTTCTCTCAACTTCTCCCATCTTCTCTCACCATTTCTTCATCATTCTCTTACTCCTCTAATTTTTCTCCTCCTCCTTTTCACCTTCTCCATCTCTTCCCCTATTTCTCCCACCGCTTCTCTCCTCATCTCTTCATTGTAATCCTCATTTTGACTTGTAAGTAGAGGTTTCCAAACAAAACTCTGTGGCAGGTGTTGTCTAAATTTCTGATTTAAAGAAATTAATTTGACCGGTAGAATGTAGGATAATTAAATGCAAAATGTTTGTGTGTTTTTTTTTGTTTTTTTTTCCCTTACCTTCACCTTCTCCGCGCGATACATAGTCGTGTCAAGATTGTTGACCAAACAAAGCATAGGAACCAAGCATCGCCTAGCAGGGAAGAGAAAAATACCCCTTCGTCTGTATTTATTCAATGACGGAAAAGAGGTAAACATGAAATAAGGAGTAAAGAGAAACTTGAATGTAATCAAATAAATAATGATAATGGCCAATTATATAAAAACAAATGTAAAGGCAATACAGAAAGCATCACAGAATACAACATGGATGGCAATACAGAAAGCAACACAAAAGACAGCACAAATGACAACACAGATAGCAACACATAAGACATGTCGCCTTTGTAAAGAGAAGGAAGATTGGAAATGATACAATAAGTAAATGCTGCAAACTGCTTCCGAATGAAAATAAGAAAAACATTCTGTCTTCGTAACCTTTTTATGAATTTCGAAGCATGCATTCAAAAGTCACAAGGCCCAATGAATTTAAGCGTTAGTTAAAACATCGGGTTTCTAACTGTTGTAAGTTCAGTCCCTGTGTGCTGAGTGTGGAAAAGTCGCATGCTCTTGTTCAATACGAGAAATGGACAAACGACACAAAGATGAATACAGCCGGTGAGTATTAACTGATATGAGTTTTTGGAAGAATGTTATCCAGTATGATGATAGAATAGACACCTGAAGAAGGCCGGAGGATACAACGGTTGAAACCTTATGAGTGCGACCACCAAAACGAGCATGCTGGTCGGAATGGAAAAGCATATGATAATCTCTTTTATGGAATATTACTCTAAACGTCATTTTTGTAGATACACATGTTTGAGTAGACACCCAGTTTTTTTTTCATCTACTGGCCTGTGCATTCGAGAGACTTAATAAAGACAATGTGCTCTCCAGTGATATATTGAATATCTGATCCGGCGTGTTTTAAACTGCTCTGTCACATAGGAATCTATATATCTTACTAATTATAGGTAAATGATTCATAAAACGAAAAAATAAATCCAACGTTACGCGTTTTGTCTCTAGAAATGATTTTTCAATCTCAGTTTGTATCATAGTTGTATGCTGGTCGTGGGTTTCAATTGGTAAAGACGTATCTCCTAATATATTTACTTGACAACAAAAATGGCGGACTCGGAATGTGAGTCCGAGTAATAAATGAATAAAGTAATACCAAAACTATATATATAAACAAACGATAATGTATGTGTTATCAAAACCAATGTATATATAGACAATTGACAATTGTTGCGTGTGACAAAACAATGAATATAAATGAAAACTTTTAAACCCCTGAAGGTGTTTGTGTAGAAGTAAGTGTAAAAAGCGTGGGTAATAGACACATGTGTATATATACATGTGTGTGAGAGAGTTCAAAAGTCGACAGAGGACCAAGGGAAGCGAACGCGCCTCAGTGGCGGCGTTCTTATCTACGTGCGAATACATTTGAAAGCTAAAGAAAATAACAGAGAGATTAAAAGAATGTCACTGACTATTTATAAGCTTAGGGAGCGTCCCCTAGCAATGGTTGTTTTTTAGTAAAGTAAGGGGGGTAACTCCACAAGTTTTATCGATGGAATCAGTCTTATATATATATATATATATATATATATATATATATATATAATAGAATGCAAGTTAACTTTAAATTTGATTTTTTTTTGGGGGGGACGTCTGATATATCTAAATACATAACCTAACCGACAACATTCAGCTTTCTATCACATTTCTTAATTTTTATAGCTACTTTTTTATGTATCCCAAAATATTCCTCGAACAGATTCTAACCAATTTAGGCCCGTTGACACAGTGCATTATTCTGTTGGATAATCCCACCCTTGTTGGGTTGCATTTAGTCCATGAATAGATGCAAATAGTCACAAAGCAGTGCCACGTGGTAGCTACCAGTTAATGAAGCGTTTCGGTAGAACGCGAACCCAACCCATCGCATCCCACCTAATCACCCAGGCTTAAATTTAATCTAGGAGGTACAAGAAATCCAACCGATCAATTTAGTGTTTTTATAGCTTCTATGGGGTACGGCAGCAGAGGACCCACCAGTTTGTCTCTTTTAACGCCGCAAATACAGTGCCTCACCTGGGCCTATGATGTCTATAAATATGCAGGACTGGCAAAATGAGGCGTGGCTCGATAACCACAGTTCCAGTTGTTTCAAACTGACGGTAGAGTTCGGGTGTGTCACAAACCACATAGAACCAATTTTCAACAAAATTATGTGCAGGCGGTTGGTGGTTCTAAAAACGTGTAGGGTGTGTCATAGCATGAGTTGGGGTGGCTTGTTTTCCTAAATAAGTCATTGACCTTGTACATCCATTCGTACACTCGTTGTACCAAACAAAGATGGGTTATTCCAAACGGATAATTTTCTATCAGATTCAAGTTACTATGAATTTGAGGAACATTCTAGAGATTTCAAGAAATGACGTGGCCACCACGTGAGTCGAGCATGAACCCAGTGAAGCATTTATGGGATATCGAGGCGAGGTCTATTCGCATACACAACTTGCAAATATGAGGGAGCTATGGACAGCTATGGAGATGGCATGACTAAACGTTTCCCAGATGCCGCTATTCATTACATCATATTGGCGGATAATAATTGTTAGTATTAAAAGAGTTAACGGATATATATTTTTTTTTATTAATTCAGATGAGTTTTTGTTCTTTAATTAATATATATATATAGCGGCTCGGACTAAGTAATCGGAGAGCCGAGTTCGAAATCCAGTCGAATCAATTATGTACTAATACACTTGGCAAAAGTATTAATCCTATTATTCTCCCTCTAGCTATAGGTAAATAGCAGGGCAGACTGGGTTCTGTAGCTTTGGATGGCAACTGGTCTAGGAGAAGGACAACTCTGAATTCAAAACCTGCGGAGGCTCGTTTCGGGAACTTGTGGCACGTAGTGCACCAGGTTTCTGTATTCGGCCCTTCAAAAAGTGTGGTTCGTTTTGCACAAAGCCTTCACTTCAAATTTAATGTGCTGGTATCTGGGCTGTCGGTTCCTAGGAACTGAGCTGTTTGACCCTCATACGTCGTATCCGGCTGAGATTCCATTATATATATATATATATATATATATATATATATATATATATATATATATATATATATAAGATCAAATATATGAAGAAAATATATACGGAAAAAAAAACAAAAATCATTATATACAATTATGCTGTTTTAATGTTAATTAAATGTTTTATTAACATTAAAACAGCATAATTGTATATAAAGATTTTTTTTGTTTTTTCCGTATATATTTTTTTCATATATATATATATATATATATATATATATATATATATATATATATATATATATATATATATATATATACCCGTTTGTTCATTATTTCAAAGAAATCTTTTTAAAAAATGTTTTCGCATTCGGAATAACTAGTCCAGATAAATCTCTAAAAAGTCAGGGATTGATTTTGCACTGTATCGATATTATCAATAGAATTCCTGACTTCTAAAATGATAATCAATATTTTTCTATTTTGACAAATTCCGTGCCTTGAGAAATGTTTCATAAATGCCAATCTCCAAAAATGATTTTCTTATTCTTTTTAACGAATGGGCCAGACTGCTTAAGTTATGCTCTTAAAGTCTACCTGTACAATTTTCTACCTACAGTAGTGTACAAGTAATCTTGTGTATAAGCGCTAATATGCTGTGAAGCGGAAACTGATCGACTATATAAAGAAACGCTTAAATGTATGTGTATGCATGTGCGTACGTTTCGAGCTTCTTGTTGTTCTGTTCTCTCAACATGTCGACAGAACTGTTTATTCTCCACCTCTCCAGTAAGTCGGCGTATTAAGATAACAAGGGAGTGACACGGTCGCTGGCAGGCGAAGTGGATAGGAACAAGATGGTGAATCCGTGATACGTACACGAGGGTGGCGACTCGCCTGTTAAAGGAGGGGCTTATCATCGACAAATCAGTCACGTTCTCCTTTTCTATCTCTATCTGTTCTTTCTCTTTCCCTGTTTGTCTGTCTTTCTCTCTCTCTCTCTCTCTCTCTTTAATTGTCTGCGAACAGTGGAATTGTTCCTGCACTTTTTCCGGCACATCGGAACATTAAACAATTTTTACTGTAAAAAAAAAAAATCGGTCCAATTTGTTACCAAACGGAGTAAATCTTTTGTGTTTATTTAGTGTTCAGCATTAATTTAGTATAAACGTGTTTGCAAACATTATAAAGAACATAATTTAGCAAGATAATCCCTGTGCCAATACCGCCAGGAAAATAGTTTGTCTGTCTTTCTAGTATGGTAACCCACACTATAAAAATAAACCACTACTTATTAGTCGCAGATCCCGGTTGGTGGATTTTTTTTTTTAAGCGTTTCACCCCAAGCAAGGCGGGAAGCCACTAGGACGCAAGGAGTTACAGAAGATTTGGATCAAGATCAGATAGGAGTGATAGAGGAAAGGATGAGGATAAGGATAGTGGATAGATCAAGGCAACTGGAGATGTCGATTGACATTATATTTGAATAGCTGGAGATTATAGCTCTCAGGGAAACTGGAATAGGGAAGGGAGTTCCACAGGCGAGAGATGCGAGACATGAAGCTATTGGAGTAGAAGAGATGGCTACATTTAAAAGTGTCGACAGTGAAAGGGTGAGAGCGGGATGCCAGCCTCGTAGGGCGCTTGAACTCATGAAATCTGGGAACCAGCGAATGCATCTCCTCGGAGCAATTACCATGAAAGTATTTGTAAAACAGACAGAGAGAGGCGACGGCGCGTCTGTGCGAAAGTGACTGTAGATGAGATGCCAGATCAGGGCTAATTATATTGCATATCCTCCTCTGGAGCTTATCAAGAACCCCGAGGCAAACAAAAGGGGCTCCAGACCATATATGGCAGCAATACTCCATGCAAGGGCAAATTGTTGATTTGTAGATCTGAAGGATCGATTCCAGTGAGAAAAATTTCCTGGCACAGCACAGGGAGCCAACTTTCCTTGCGGTGGACGAAGCAATTGACTCAATGTATTTGTTCCATTTCAGGTCAGCAGTCAACGTGAGACCGAGCAGCCGCAGAGAGATGCTCTCGAGAAGTTGAGCGTCAGATGGCCGATTCCTTGGACTTTCTGCTTGCTCGGGCAAAGCAGAATATTTTTAAGGAATCAAGATAAAGAAATTTTGTAAATAAATAAAATAATCATTTGTAATGATAATCTTAGCAAAAATATATTATTTTGTGTATCATCTAATGTAAATGGCTTCCATTTTATTCTTTATAAATTGTTTAATTTATTGCATCTTTCATAGAGTTCTTTAATTTATAGATTTTATATTTTTAATTTTTGAAAGTATGTGATGACATGAACACGATACATACATTAATCGTTCAGTGATAAAAAAAATCTGCAATGTTATTGGTCCTGACCTGTCATCTCGATTTAAGTTACTTTCCTACCGCCATAATGTAGTTTCACTTTGCCTTTTTCTATAAATATTTTAAAGGTAAATGTTTTGATGAACTCTCCTCATTGGTACCGAAACTCTATGAATTTAAGCTCAGTACTAAATTGTGAGCAAGATCTCGTCATTTTACAGTTGAAATGGCTGAGATGTTAACAGTTTCTTCTCTTGCACTTATTGCTACCGGCTTATTGCTTCACAGTCAATTTTGATCTTCGAAAATTTCATTTCAATATTAATCGTTATTTCCTGTCATCTTTTCTTTTACTGTTGTTCTCAGTTCTTAATAATGTTTTTCATATATCCTTTCACACGCAGTACCCCCTCTCCTGCGCGTTAGTGACTCTGTTGCCTTGTTTGGGTTGAAATGATTATATATATATATATATATATATATATATATATATATTTATAAATAGATAGATATAGATATAATCATGATTATATATAATCATATATATATATATATATATATATATATATATATATATATATATATATATATATAATCATTTCACCCCAAACAAGGCAACAGAGCCACTAACGCAGAGAGGGGTACTGGGTGAAAGGATATAAAAATCCACTTGGATTGTATACCAACGGATTTATTACCTTTAATATATATATATATATATATATATATATATATATATAGAGAGAGAGAGAGAGAGAATATATATATATATATATATATATATATATATTTAGAGGAATCTAAATGGAATAATAATAATAAAAAACGAAAGAATATTAATCTACAACTCAGTGTGTCTAATGATTTTAATTTTTAATTTTTTATTTTCTTATTGTTTAATATATATATATATATATATATATATATATATATATGATACCTAAACTCTATGAATTTAACGCAGTACTAGATTGTGAGCAAGATCTCGTCATTTTACAGTTGGAATGGCTAGATGTAACCGTAAGTTCTATGTTAACAGTTTCTTCTCTTGCACTTATTTATTACCTTTAATATATATATATATATATATATATATATATATATATAGTAAAGGTAATAAATCCGTTGGTATATAATCCAAGTGGATTTCATATATCCTTTCGTTAGTTGTTCTCTTGCCTTGTTTGGGGTGAAATGATTATATATCCAAGTGGGTCCTAGTAATATAAAATATTAAAAGCGATACACAAAAAGAGCTGAATGCATTTATTATTACAGAGCAAATAAATTTGTACATAAAAAAACTAAAATTAACTCATAGGGGGAATAGACCTATTTCAACCGATGAATATTTCGTCAGTTTTATTCTTCAAAAGTATATAGACTGATTTCGAGTCGGAATTAGAAAATTTAAATGTGACTACTGCCGAGAAAATTAATACATAAGTTATCCATTCCAGTATTTCAATCAGACGAATTATATATTAATTTTTCGACAGATGTCACAGTTAAATTTCTAATTCCGACACGAACCCAGTCTATATACCGGGATTGAATAAGACTTGACGAAAGCCAGTTTTGTTTTGGAGACGTTAAAATTAACAAACCATTTTTTGCCAACAGATTGTGGGTCATTTTTTTTTTTTTTTTTTTTTTTTTGCTCAGATGCCAATTTGACTTTGTCGAACAGTTCAGAAAAACCATTAAGACGAGATTAAATAGTTGTGTCATCAGCATAAATACTGAGTTGAGAACTGATGCCATCAGGAAGATCGTTGATGGAAATTAGGAACAACATAGGTCCAAGGTTAGAGCCTTAGGGGACACCCGCATTAATGTAAAAAGATCTAGAAGAGTAGCCGTTCAAGACAACCTTCATTTCGTGATTTGATAAGAAAGATTGAATCAAATCAAAAATTAGTTCATACCATAACTTTTCAATTTGTGAAGAAGACCAGCGTGCCAAACTTTCAAATGCCTTTCAGGTATCCAAAGCAGCATTTTGAGTCTCACCTTTCTTATCTAAAGCTTGATAGACACTTTCGACAATAACTCTTGATACATCAGCAGTTGAACTAGAGTAGCGAAAGCTATATTGCTTATCTGAAAGAAGGCCGTGTGATGAGATGATTAACCAATTCACAGTTGATTAGAATTTCTAATATTTTGTCAAAAAGAGATAGAAGGCTAATAAGCTGTTAGAAGGATCAGGCGGTTCGCCTGAGTTCTTTAAGACTGGAACAAGAGAAGAGGATTTGCAACAAGTAGGAAAGCAAGAAGCAGCAAAGCATTTATTGTAGAGTTTAGAGAGAACAGGAGCCAGTTCAGGGGCATATTTCTTAAGGACTATTGCAGGGATATCATCAAGTTCACATACTTTGTGAGGATCAAGTTTAGATAACGGAAACCATGGACTGCGTTATATATATTACTTAATAGAGACTCAGTTCTAAGTGGAAAAGCAGGCAAAGATGAAAGTCTTTCTATTACAAACACACACACGCACGCACACATATATTCTCTCATATATATATATATATATATATATATATATATATATATATATATATATATATATATATAAATAACGGAAGACAGCCCACATATGCTTCATATAATATGTAGATTTCCAACTTTAAAATATTTCTCTTCGTACTTCGGTTTAGTCAAAAGGCCTACTAATAAATATCATCAGTCTTATTGGCAAGAATTTTATCATTTTGTTGTTTTTAATTCCTCGAATTTAACTAACACGACTATATATATATATATATATATATATATATATATATATATATATATATATGTATGTATGTATATTGCTCTACTTTGTATTGAGCACTTTTTTTAAAAAGTAAATGCTACGAACAGTGTATTTTTACTCCATCTGTTCTTTTCTTTCATTTGTATATATATATATATATATATATATATATATATATATATATAAAGAGAGAAAAGACAGAGAAAATGTGAGAGGTAGGTACTATTAGATTCCTCGTACAAGGGTAACTTTCATAATTAAGGACTGGTATTTTCGTCAATATGCAATAAACGGGGAGGGCTTAATAAATGTGGATGTCGGAAACTAATTTCAAGACTAAAAAAAAACATAAGATTAATAAACGGGGTGGTCTTAATAAGCTCTGGGTGGTCAGTAAATTTCATAAAAACCAGAAAATTAACAAAAACGCCTCCTACATCTCTTATGCATGTAAGAGCAGATAGCGCCAAAAAAGGGACAATTATGGAATGAGAAATTGTCAATCATCAGATTCTACCAAAAGCTTCATTCAACAATCAATTTCAGGAATAAAAAAGAAAAAATTACTGTGTTTATTTGAACCCAGCCAAATAAAACTTAACACCCCCCCCAAAAAAAAAATTCAGTAGTCTTAAGAGTAGCGTTGAATTATTATAGTGCTCAGTTCCTGGTTTAATTTCTCCCGCCCTTTCCACTTGCAGCTGGTTTATTTATTACATACTGGTCGGGGCAAACGTGATTATATATATATATATCTTTCTCTCTCTCCCTCCCCTTCCTCTCTCTCACTCTCTTATTTTTTACTTTTATTTATTTATTATTTTTACTTATTATCTGATTTGATAACGATTCTCGTAGGTCATGACAGAAGTTACTCGCAGGGCGTAAACACCCTGAAGTGTATTCGATATTTGCCTAACGTTGTCCATCTTCACTTTACTGCCAATATCTCTCCCTACGAAATAAACACCCG